GTGGGCTTTCTCATTTCACGCGTCCTCCTTGGCCTCACTGTGCTCAATTCCCCAGTGGGATGCAACCCGCACCAGCGTGGCTGGCTCCTGGTCCAATGAAACTTGCCTCACCAGGCCCAAGTCAGCTCCCCCATCAATGTTTATTAGCGCTTGTTCCAAAATATATGTATTTACCGCCAAATGTTCTGGGCGGAGGGGGAGTTTCATTTTTGTGCAACATTTTCATCGATTATTTCTTTGGAGGGATTTTAATTGACAACAGCCCCTCCCCCCCATTTTTTGACAGCCAAAACTGTCAGTTGGGGGCGGGGGGGGGGTTCAATTTTTCAACGAAACCTCAACAAGATTTGGATGACAATTTCTCTTTGGTCCAAAAGCTGGTGGGGAAAATAGTCTGTGCGGAAAAACCCCCCAACCAGTTCTAGTTTTTATTCAGTCTCCGTGCAAGCAGAACTCCAGTGAAATCTGTGGGAGACTGGTATAGGTATGGGGCAATTGGAACCTCAAGGTTTGATTGAATTAGGAGGATTCCTCTGTATTTTCCAGTAATAATTGTAATAATTGTGCCACATGCTTCAAAGGCAATGTCGTGAGATATGATAATATTTAGCAATTCTAGCAGTGTCACTCTTTCCATCCTCAGCGAGATTTGCAAACCAAAATGTACCCTTACAAACACCACTGTGCAGCGGGTTCTGTAGGTGCCTGTAGTATTAGGGGGAGGGGTAGCTCAGTGGTTTGAGCTTTGGCCTGCTAAACTCAGGGTTGTGAGTCCAATCTTTGAGGGGCCATTTAGGGATCTGGGGCAAAAATTGGGGATTGGTCCTGCTTTGAGCAGGAGGTTGGACTAGATGACCTCCTGAGGTCCCTTCCAGCCCTGATAGTCTAGGATTCTATTTTCAAATAAAGATCCCGCCCGCAATGATATTTGCAAGGGAAGGTTGTGGATCAGGAAAACTCCAGCCAGCAGCACTTCTGGGTCCTCATCGTTGTCCCCGGTCCCAGGCATCACCAACACAAGAGAGGAATGAGATCCAAAATGTGCATCTGTAGCTCAGAGCAACTGCATGGATTAGCAAGAGAGTGGAATCATAGGAACCTATCCTGGATATACATGGGTGTGTGGAGAGAGAGTAGATGGGGGACAGGCAATGTTTCCTCATGGCTACAGAAGGGTCCAAGCCACAGGATTTGGATCCATTATTTCACATGGGTGTTTGGATTTATCAGCTGAATGGGTCCCAAGACTCCAAAGATTGAATCGGGATCCAGGTCCGAGGTCCACCAAAGTTCAAAGGCTGGGAATGAGCTTCCTGGGCTTGTATGGGATCAGAAGTGGAAATCATAGAATCATAGAATATCAGGGTTGGAAGGGACCTCAGGAGGTCATCTAGTCCAACCCCCTGCTCAAAGCAGGACCAATCCCCAACTAAATCATCCCAGCACGCCCAGCCTAGTCACAGGCTGGATGTACTGGAAAGCTTAGGACAGAGTCCACACCCACGAGATTGCAACTGTGATTTTGAAGCAAAAAAGCTCAGGTCAACCTTCAAAATGTAGGGGCCTTCTTTGAGCTGCACAACTTCCCAGAGCCTTCTGAAGCTCCTCCATCCATAACCAACAAAACCTACCTCGGTCCTCTGGTCAGCCACCAGAGTGTTTCTTCACACAATGCACAGTCAACCTGTGGAACTCTTTGCCAGAGGATGTTTTGAAGGCCAAGACTATAACAGGGTTCAAAAAAGAACTAGATAAATTCATGGATGATACGTCCATCAATGGCTATTAGCCAGGATGGGCAGGGATGGTGTCCCTAGCCTCTGTTCGCCAGAAGCTGGGAATGGACGACAGGGGATGGATCACTTGATGATTTCCTGTTCTGTTCATTGCCTCTGGGGCACCTGGCACTGGCCAATGTCGGCAGACAGGATACTGGGCTAGATGGACCTTTGGTCTGACCCAGTGTGGCCATTCTTATGTTCTCTCCTCAAGTGTGTGCTTGGTCGATAGATGGTGATAGGGGCTAAGGGTCAAGGTTCAAAGAGTCCCACAAGGTTTTCAGGCCCGGCTGCCATTGCTCTCAGTGTGAGTAGAACATTGTGCAATGGCAGGAAAGGTAACCCCTTATCTCCTTTTACAGAACTCTTCGAGACGTCCTGGGTGGTCGTTGCCAAGTGAGGGAGACCGGCTGACTTCCCCCACCCTTCCCTCTGCTCTGCTCTGCTCTGGGATAGGTGGCAGCCAGTTCAATGCATTGGAGCATACAGGAAACTGTCAGTGTTTGAGGACCGGTACTTCGTTTTCGTAGAGGCGTTAAACTGGACGGTTCTGAATGTACTGCCCTGGAGGCTGAAGTCCTCCCTTTGTCACAGATCAACTCCAGCTTGGTGCATGCTTCCCCCACACTGCCCCATGTGCCTCCACGCTGACCGGGCCGGTGTGATGGGGTGTGCAAACCCTGTATCAGACTGGAAGGGATGGTGAAGTGGTTATGGGCTCACCCCGCCCTGCCCGGCCATACCTGCATGGCCTGTCAGGAGTGGCGTGAGAGCTCAGCAGGAGGCTACTCTGGGGCGAGGACAGACCTCAAGTCTCCAGCTCTGAAGGAGAGGCCTGATGGAAGGCAGGGGCTGCTCCCATAACCACAGACTGTCCAGGCCCCATGAGAGGAGAGCCAGGCTATAAACAATCACCTCAAGACCCTTTCTGGTGGCCGCGCAGAGGACATTGAGATAGACTGTGGCTAGCCCAAGACTGCCTGAAGGAAGAGAGGCTGGGGGCTCGTCTGGGACTTGTTTGTTTCATTTTTTCTCTCTGCCTCTAACCTCGGTGGGGGTGAACTCCAGAGGAGCTCAGCCGGAGGGCTGGGTTTCCGTCTTTGGGCCGGTGATGTTAACATCCACGACCTGGACGATGAGAGCCCAAGAGAGGACGTGACCCTGGTGCACCCCAAAGGGGAGCTGCAGGGGGACCAGGCCCCTGACAGACCACCTAGAGGGGACAGAGGGGAGTTCACTCTCCACGCTGACACTGCCAACATTAGGGTGCTAGCTACTGCCTTTTGGGGTGGTGTTTTTCTTAATGCACACACTTCTCTGCTAGGAACTGGGTGGACCAGTGGTGTGCCCTCTGCATGTGCAACGCATGCCCCAGGACTGGCTGTGCACTCCTGTCTGCTCCCCAAGTGTGCACAGAGGATGCTAGAAGAAAATGGCGTTCTCCGCACAGCATAACCTTGCGTGCGCCGTAGGTGCAAGGTCGTGCTGCATGGAGGACACCATTTTGCATACAAGTGTAGAACTGCGCGCCTGCCTAAATGTGCCACTGTATGCCACTGGGGTGGACTCTGCCAGTTCATTTAACACTGGCCACTGTCAGATGATAATGCCTTTCGGTTACTTCTGACCTGGGCTGGATCAGAACCGATGACCTTGAGGTCAAAGGCTCCTTACCCTGGCATTAATTTTTTAATCTTGAACATTTCACACAGCTGATCATTCGGAGGAACGTTACCGTTCCTTTCTAGCTTCAACTGCAGCACAAGAGTGAGCCTGGACTGCCAGCCTGGTACCACCCAGCGTTCTCAAACCCTGGGATGCAGCTATTCCTGTTCTGTAAGATCCAACAGTGGATGACATGAGAGCAGGGACATTTGGGTTTAAGCAATCTATACATTCCTGACATGGACACCAGGAAGCTAATTCAAAAGGCAGACATTAGTGATGAGAGCCATAGCTGTGCATGCTGGAGAAAAGAAGTCAGTGGTTTGCAGGAAAAAATTGATTGTGATGAAGGTGTAAATAGTGCATTTCATTAGCTTGATTTCAGAGACAGGGGAACTGGGTCAGAAGACACAGAAGTGATCTGAGGCCTGGTCTACACTGCAAAGTTAGGTTGACATAAGTCGCCTTGCGCGGACCTATTTGTGCAAGAGTCTCCACTCAAATTTGTCTCTGGCTGACATAAGCGCCCCACGATGGTGATGAAGTAAAACTACTTCCTTGAACGGCGCTGACCCCAGCTTGGCGAGCACCTTACCAGCTCTCCCTTGTGTGCAAGCAGCCAGGATGCATGTGCACAGGCGATGTACTAACTTCGGCACTGTACACCGACGCAACTTGTGTCGACCAAAGTCTGTAGCGTAGACGTGGTCTGAGTCTTCACACATTCTTTCAAAGGGAACTTTTTCTTTTTGAGGTTTGCAAAAAATATTTGGCCAACTTTTCTAATTTGTTTGATTTGTCTCTGCATTGTCTCGTTCTGGGTAGAGACAGGACCACACCAAAGCCCTGGTTTTGGACACCCCCAAAACTGGCAAGAAATTCAGATCTGTATTCAGATTTTACAAACGGTCCTTATGTCTATAATGGGCAGAGTAACCACATCCATCCGCCCAGCTCCAGACATCCCCCAGACTTGGACAAGTCCAGATTCACACCAGAACTCGGCAGCTGGCTCCCTGCAGCCGTGAGTAGAAGTGAAGGAGCGGAATGATCACAACAAAGACTGTCTGCTGAGAGCTTGACCCAGATTTTGTGGATGAAAGAAATTCTGAGAAGGTCTTAATCGGTACCTGAACCTTTCCATATCCCCCCCACCCATTGCTAATAGCTTTTGGGCTTGATCCAGCTCCCAGCAAAGTTAACTGGAGCCTTCCCACAGATGTCAATGGGCATTGGATCAGGCCCTTAATGACTGGCTGAAGATTTTCTCAGATGAGCCAGGCTAGGGCTTGCTTGGCTGTCTGAGACGTGAGAAGGTCAAACAGCTTGGAAATCCAATTACATTAGTAAGTCACTCAAGGAAAAAAATAAACAGGCAACCTGTGGCATTGGGCACAAACCCTGTTCCATTTAGGAGAAAGAGCCAACCTGGTTTTGCAGAGGTATAATTAATAGCCACCCTGGCTGGTGAGGTGCCTCTGAGCAGCGGATTGCACTCTGTGAGCCTGGCATAGTAGTTCCATATAGCGTTCAGTGGTCGGGGGGAGGGTTTCTTACTTTTGCAGATGGGGATCTTGTTGCTCCATGTTCCGTCCTTCAGACACTCGATCTGGAAGGAGTCACTCTCCACGTTATCCTGGGCAGAAGGGACAAGCGAAAACCATTATCCATGCAGCCAAAGGACCTCCCCCTCCCACTGCAAAGACTCATCTTCCCAATGGCCTGACCGGGCCAGCTATCCACCGTAAAGAGACGTTGCTCACTGGGCAAGCCAGTAACAAAGAGAGTTTCCTCTTCATTAAGAACCCCTCCGTTTATTGAGTTTGAAAGAAAATTAGAAAACAAATGTGTTTCTTTCCAAATATGACGGCAGTGGGCGCAGTATTAGAACCTAGCCAGGAGGATGGAGCAGCCTATCATAGGGTATTAGTGTACTGGGACATAGGAGTGATGCTAGAGATGGATTATATAAAGAGAGAGGTCATTTTATGAAGCCTCAGGGATGGGGTAGGTAGAGCCGAGGATGGCTCAGCACTGATTCAGAGGTAAGAGTTCCACCTACTGATTCATCAGCATTTTCTTCAGTCACCAGCTACTCCGTGAAGGTCACCTACCAAAGGACCAGCCCTGCTTGGCTTGGGAGAGCGTAGCAGGAAATCACAGACAGAGCAGCACCCCAGGTGCCTCCGTCTCTTGGGGAGACGCCAAGCCTCGCGTCTGGCTTATTTGCAAGTAGTTAGTTTGCTGGCGAGGGCGGGAGGTTTAGCTGGTGGTTGGGGGACATGCTGTATTCTCTCTCCTCCCACTTCTTTAGTGGCTAGTTTGTGGCTCTAAGTGTATCGGGCCCTTGTGGATAGTTCTTGCTCCGGGAGAGTTGGATGGGCTTTTGTTTGATTAATTTCTCCAGAGCACGGCTGCAGCCTCCTTTGGCAGCGACGCCCATCCCGGGATAGTTTCAGAGCGTTTAGGGCTGAAGGGACCATCCGATCATCTAGCCTGACCTCCTGTGCTTTGGCTCATTACCATAGAACATTGTAGGCGTCCTTAAATACGGACATGCCTCTGGCTCGAATGCCAGACAGGTGGAGCGCCCCCCAGTGGCCCCAGGTTTCCTCTGGTGGAGGAGAGGAGAGAATCTGGCCCAGCGCCCCGAACGCTCACATCAAAGCCAGTGGCTCTGGTACCTTTAGCACGTTGTAGCCGGTGTTGCAGCTGATGACCACCTGGTCCTTAAAAGTGTACTTGGCCTGCGAGGGCTCGATTTTCCCGTTGATTGGCGGCTGCACCAGTGGGCACGGGTTCCCTTTGAGGGGGGAGAGGGGAACAAAGAAAGACCATGCTGACCGACTGGCGAGGGTGCGTGAGGGTGGCGCCCCAACCAATGGAGGCTGCTCCGAATTCCAGGGCCCACAGCTGTTTATTAGGGTAATAGTTCCCACCAATTCTCACTGGGCCAGATCTGCAGGCAGAGGGGCATGTCACGGGGGGCACAGAGACTGTTGCTTCCTATGGGGTTGCCTTTGGAATCCCCCCCGAGGTGTCTTGCCTGCTTACTGGCCTGGCTATTTTCGAACATAGCTGTGTATTTTGGATGAAACGAGGACCGATGACTGCACACTTAGCATAGACATCCTGTTCCTCCCAGTGGCCCCAGGCCTGGCACTGCTGCTGTGAGTGGCAGGTACATCAAGGTGGTTTCCAAGTGGCAAAAATATTTGATCGCGAGGTCGGTCGGTCAGTGAGGTCGCCCCTGTAGCTAAGCTGATGCCCGGGGTGAGCTGGCGTGCTGTGCTGTGCCGGCAATGTGATTGGCCCACCGGGCACCAGGCTGTGACTGATCCATCCAGCTGGGAGGTCAGGGCAAGCCAATGGGGGAAGCAAGGAACCCAGCTGTGGGGTGGCGTGACACAAGCACTGATTAGGATGGGCTCAGTGACCTCTCCTGGGCAGCACCGTGCAGAAGAGGAGGGTTAGGGTGGGGGGTGAAGGCTGGGGAAGAGCTGGTGTTGGAGAAAGCCTGAGTCCCGGAGTGGAGGGAGCAGGGAATTCCCCAGCGGGAGCTGTGCAGCGAGACAGGCTTCGGCGCTGCCCAGCAAACACTTCCCCGCCGCTAGCCTAGCAGAGCTGCTGCCTTTACAACCCCTCAGAGACACACCCAAGGTCAGGTCCCCCAGGGGGCCACCCCGTGCAAGGCTGCGCCCCTGGGTGGGGTGCCAGTAGCAGAAACTGACCCTGGGAACCTCTGGATCCAAAAGCATAAGCCTCTCCTAAGCTCAGACCACTACCTAGCTGTATTAGCCCAGGCTGCCGCCACCTGTTTCTGCGGGCCTGGGGGACAGAGTGCTGCGCGGAATGTGGACGGGTTACACCTACAGGCCAGCAGGCTCCTGCATGCCAGTCCGGGCTGCGCTGCCGGGCAGGCTGCACACAGGCTTCAAACTGTTACCCAGGCCTGGCTCAGGACCGCTGTGGCAATGGCACAGAGCAGCATTATTAAGGGAGGGCACGCTGTGAAACTAAAAAGGCAGCCCATTTAGCCTGCAGCGTTAACCTGTGGAACTCGCTGCCGCAGGATGTTAGTGAGGTAAATAAAGAGCTTGGTAAGGTCCAAAAAAGAGGGGGTGATGCTTGTATGAATAGCAGTAGCATGTGCAGTGACCTTGACTAGTGAGGATCATGGGAGATCCCTGTCCCCATGTTTGAGGGCACAGCCATGCTCAGGGAGAAGTCCCCGTCCAAAGAACAGGATTGCTCAGTTAAATTACTTATGCAAGATCTATCCCATCTCTTGCCTGAAGTCTCTGGCCTTGGCCATCGTCAGAGACAGGATTCTAGACCAGGTGGAGCCTTGGTGTCTATGTGCAGGGTCCAGCCCCCTGTGCACGGTGAAGGGAAGAAGCCAGAGCAGTTACCGATTGCTGTGTAGGATAACTTCCACCCTTGGTTCTCTCCTGAGCTGTCGCTGTGGAACAGGATCTGAACGCTATTGCTTTGGGTTTCAAGACGTCCTGGGGATTTTTCCCCACAGAAAGGGCCAAACTCCTTCCGACCAGCTTTAATCTGCCAGAGCAACAAGAGGAGATGGTGCAGAGAGTTAGGATCCACTGGGGGCTCACTACGCACTGAGGCTGGTGTGTGGGTATCACTACACCCTGAGGCTGGCGCGTGGGTCTCTCTATGCCCTGAGGCCTTGCCAATATAAATATGTCTTAGACCCTCTGTGAAAGGCTTTGGGGGAGGGGAACAAGAAGGGGCACCTCTCACTGGTCTCCAGTGAATGTTTGCCCAAATCTCAAAGGCTTCTCAAGGTCACACACAAGCTGGGATCGCCATGAGATGCTCAGGACTGACCCAGCCATGGTGCTACGTGATAGCTCAGGAATGGGGTGCACTGGCAAAGCAAGGGGTGCGAGGGCACCAGTGCTGGACTAGCAGGGGGTGCTGCAAATAGGGGGTGAGCTGGGGCTCTGTTCGTACTCGGAATGGCATGAGGAAGTTTGCCTGAGTAAAACCTGAGCAAATCTTCAGTGGTGGGCTTTTAGTTTTGCAGGCAGGGCTTAAATTCAGCTGGAGCTGTCCGGAGCGGAGCTGCGGTAAATATTCAGCCCTGCTGTAAGCAGGCTCTGCTCCCACTGGCTGTACTCACTTAGGCCTGGGTCGCGGGTGGTCTGATGAGCTAGGAGTTGAGGTAACGTGGGGGGAGTCATGCGCAGAGATCTCCCAGAGCTGGGGCCAGCCCAGCCAGCTCACCTTGATGTAATCGTAGGGGCAGGACACCTCCGGGTGGTCCTCAATGTCGAAGCTGTCTTCGAACTGCAGGCTGATGAGGAAGCCTTCCTCCAACTCGATGCGGTACAGGCAGTCGGAGCTCTTGGGATAGGGGCTGGGGAAGTCGGCGCTGGTGATCACCCCACTTCTCTGGGTGAAGAGGTTGCTGCTGCACTCCACTGAAAGGCACACGGGAACCCTGAGCAACCGGCCTCTCCGGGCTAGACCCTGGGTCCCGGAAGGAGCCCAGGGTTAAAATCTGGCCTGCTGTCCCAGCGTTGTCTCCTATTCCTAGCCCTGGGCAATCTCCCCTCAGAACACCTCCACCTGACTGAGCTGACAGGGAACCTCTGGACCGGATCCTGATCTCACGCACACCCGCACCCACCAGGAGTGGGGCCACCGATGCCAGTGGAGTTATGCTGGTGTGAGCCAGAAGGGAATCGGGCCCAACGCTGCTGAGAGGACAAGTGCTGGCCGCAGGGGAGATCCACTGGGATCCGGGGAAGGACATCTCCATCCCCAGGCTGCTCAGCTGTTACAGCCCCCATCGCTGCTCCGACCCTCACCCATGCCCGGGAGGATTGGCTGGTGGATCTGTGTCATTGTGGATCCACTGGCCCTTCCCTGCCATAGCCCCCCGCAGGCTGCTCGGGTGCAGGGAGCCCCCTTACAGATGTGCTCAGAACAAGCATGCTGAGCCCTTCCGGTGCAGGAATCTGCACCGGCCAGTCCTAATGCATTCTTTGGGCCAAGGTCAGTCTTTATTTTGGTGTCGCACAAGCCAAGAGCAGAGGTGAACCGGCCACACTGCCACACTGGCCGACTGCACCCACTTGGGCACTCTGAGCAGAGAGTGCATGGCCAGCGTGCTCCCCAAGTCCCAGCTGGGGGGTGGGCAGGGAAAGCAGACACAGGCCAGGGAGGGCAGATTTGCCCTAAGGGCTAAAGATCCAAGTGTGGCAGAGAGCGCGGCATGATCTGTCCCAGCTGCCTGATGTCTCTGGCAGAGCCCGGAGCTGGGCCGTACCTTTGCAGGTCCTGTTGTCAGAGTGCAGGATGTAGCCAAATCGGCAGGAGCAGTAGTACCCCCCGATGTAATTGTGGCAGTTGTGGTCGCAGGCCAGCTCCTCATCGCTCTTTTCCAGGCACTCGTCCACATCTGCAGGGGAGCAAGAGTTGAGCAGAGCCTTAGAAAGACAGGCATCAAGACAGGAGCACCCCCCACTCCTCCCGGCACTGCTCCTGAGGGGGCGTTTAGACACAGGCAACAAGGAGGAGCTAGGATGCACTCGGACCAAATGGCGACGAAGTTTTGGTCCATATTTCATGGCTCATCCGTAATGGGCTGAAGCAAAAGCCCACATCTGACCATCCCATGATGGGTTAACACGGGGCTGACTGGTGTGAGAAAAGGAGGAGCTGGCCTGCCATGGCAATCCGTACACCTGCCCCACCGCGTAGGGGGTGGGGGGCGTAGAGTTATGATCCTACAGCCTGACACACCCAACCGTCCAGCAGCAAGCGAGGGTTTTGTTTGCAATAGCAACTCACTATCTATCAATGGAGTGCCCCCGCAGGGCAGAAATTCGACTGCTGGGACCGGGGCCCTAGGGCTGTGTTTTCTGTGCGTTACAAGGGTCATGCTTAGTCTGTTCCCTCCGTCTCCCAGTGCTCAGATCACTTTGTGTTGCCTTCTAAACACTTAGGGCCAGATTCTGCTCTCAGCTACACTGGCATCATTCTGGAGTAACTGCATGATGTCACTCTGGTGTAAGAATCCCTCAAAGCAGCAATAAATGGTAGATGGAACGGTTTCCCTTAAAAGTCTTCTCCACCTCACCAAAATGGCAGCTGAGATGCAAGGGTAGATTAAGGGGTCTGAAGCCTGGTCCCCAAAATTGAGGGCTGAGGGCAGGATAATCTCACTGGGGATTCCTTTGAGTATGAGAGGGAAAGGTGATGCTGGGCCAGTCTTGGAGTGTAGGAGCTGGGCTGGTATATCAGCCTGAAGCCCCGATTCCCAGAATCTGGGGGAACTTTGGGGAGTGACAGACACTGACCTGACAATCTGCAGTTACTCTGTGGCAACCTGCCTGGAACTTGGAGGGAGGAGTAGAGGTTGCAGTGGGGGAAGAGTTAGAAAGAGACGCCACCAAGTCAGTCTGTGTGCACATGGCTGGAATGCTAGCTGCAGTTGGAGCATCTCTGTAAATAGTTCTCCTAATAAAGAGCCAGTTTAGGTTTAGAAACATGAAGTCCTCTCATGTTATTACCCAGCCCATGGTGCACGCAACAGACTTTGCCACTGCAGGGGTCAAGACTAAATCAGAAGAGGATAAATAAAAGAGAATGATGGAGAGCCAGGGTGGGAGGAGAGAGGACTGGCATGCTGTCCAGCAGGGGATCTCAAGCTTGTTCATAGTGCGCACCACATCTTAATACAGAGATTGTCTCCTGGACACCTCTCCTCTCATTGGCAAACTCCCAGACCACCTCACCTGCCATTCACAATGCCGTAACATCTCTACAGAAAGTGTTCTCATTGAAAGCAACACTAGGAAAAAATGTGAGTGTCTTTAACGGTCTTTGATGCAATTCAGTGGCTGGGAACAGGGAAGAGAAACCAGCACCATGTGCCCAGCCAACTCTCCACATGCCACCAGCAAGTGCCCTGCAGACTGCGGTTTGGGCAGCCTCTGCTGTGTGCCAACATGTCATGGCAGTGGGCATCACACATCCTTCTGCACCCCCCTGAAAATGTCTCAATTTGCCAAGCACTCCTTTGGGATTGCTTGAGCTTCAGTGGAAGTCACCCCCGGCTCTGCTAATACTCAGCACTTTCCACGGTGACCATAGGCCCTGCACTGCTAACAGCTGATGGAAATTCTCTTTGTTCAAGAAGCAGGGGCCTGTGTGTTTGGAGCGGAAGGATCTGAACTCTACCCCTCTCGAGCCATGAAGTTCTGCATCATCCTCAGAGCCTTGGAGTCCTAAGGGGCTATAGGTTTGTAGCAGTATCATAGTGTACCTGCTACTTCACTGCAAAGGAGCTACTTACCCACTGCTGTGTAATGGGCGTCAAAGCCAGTGAAGCGCTCCTCATTGGAGAAGTCAGATCTGAACGTGAGGCCCATGTAAGAACTTGGAGACAAGACCACCTGCTGCCCGGGGGCCTGCTCTGTGTCTGTCGTCTCCCTGCCACAGAAAGTTGCCAAGACTTGGTCTTCAGCCTCAACCTATTAAAAGCCAAAGAAAGACTCCGTTAACACAAGGCATGGCTGGAGACGCACCAGTCTGCTCAGCTGCTCAGCCAGCGTGGTGCACGGTATTCACAATTGACACTCTACTCATAGGAAAGGGCTCAGGGCACCAAAGGCATCAACGAGGAGACTGACTTGGTGTGGAAGAGCTTCCAGTGAGGTCTTTAGCCAATCCTGTATCATGTCAAGTTAGATTTCTTCCTAAACCACCCATTTAATAGACACTAAGACCCAAAGGTCCCACCATGATCAGCCAGTGAGACGCCCCCTACACAGCACAAGCCACAGGACTTCACCCAGTAATTTCTGTAGTGAAGACAATTTTTCTCCCCGGCTGGGTAAGTAAACACCGCTGAACCCAGTAACGTGCAGTTGAACATTGAGTAAGGCATCTCCAAGTGATGAAGACCAGATGAGCTTGGAAGCACTTCAACGCTGGCATCTTTGCAACAGCTCTTGGTAGCTTGCCCCACTGCCCAGGCCCATCTTGCAGCTACATAACTATTTAACTTACATTCCTATTTAACTTACATTCTGTTTGCTGCAGCTTAGGCTGCGAGTCAAGTGCCATCTATCATGTGACCACTTGAAATGGTTCAGCAGGTTGTCTTAATTACCAGTGCTTAGGAACAGCTGAGGAATGACTCTCTCATGAGGTATGAAAAAATAGTTTCCAGAGGGTTATGATTTTTATTTAAAAAGATATATCTGCATTTTAGCTGATAAAGAGCTAGCGAGAAATGTCAGATCGACGCTGCTGAAGACTGAAGCTTCCTCTTTAGCTGCACAGCGTTTGGATGAACTTCCATTCACCCCCAACCCTGCTAGTGTACCAGAGAACGGAGAGAGAGCCCACTCCCCACGAGCCATTTGATTCTAACCTCTCTGCGGAGCCTGACATCCGGATGCCACTTACACATTTATGCTGGAGGCACCTACTCACTTAGAAGCAGACAGAAAAACCAACACTCCCTTCTCGATGGTTGCCAAAGAGCCACCAGATTGAAAGGTGCCAGATTTACATCCCTAAAGACTGAAGTCTTCTGCTTAACCACCTACCAGGCCCTGTGCTGGCAAGGATGCTGCAGACTTCCCCCATTCGCTGTCCCACCCATAGAGATCATGGCCATGCATCTTTCATGATATCGTTGCAGCAAAAGCCAGCTGCCTGGGGTTAAGAAGAAGATTCCTCTTCTTCTTAACCCCAGGTTGTTGTATAAGTGTCCCCTATGGATGTTTGAAACCTCAGCTGGTACTGGCCACTCTCACGGACAGCATTAGCTGGGCCATTGATCTGATGCAATGTGGTAATTCCTCTGTCCCTAAGACGCAACATCGAAGCGACATAACGCGACATCAGCTTGACATACACATGCAGGGTCAGGGACACTGCTGTGTGTTCTATTCCTGGACAGAAATCAAGGGGTTATTTCCGTGTCTTCCGAGCGAAAGCTTGTCTCTCTCACCCACAGCAGTTGGCCCGCTAAAGATATTACCTCACCCAGCTGGTCAGGCAGAAGGAGACATCCAAAAGACCTGGTAATATCAGCTACACATAGAGAAAAGGGGAGGTGAGTCTGCTTTGGGAGAGTGGGGAATCAGGACAGACTGTGGAGGAGAGAATGTGAAGGTTAACTTAGAGCCCAGGTGTGCAATTTCTATTCACAGCTGTTTGCCTCTGGAAGGTTCCCCCCGCCCATCTCCTGCCTCCATGCTGACCAGCTCCACAGCCCCAGCCTCACCTTTCTCTGCACTTAGTTCTCGGAGCCTCTTCAGAACCCCAGGAGATGGCCAGTGACCGTGTAAACAGGCCGAGTAACAGGGCGACAAGGGAACTCCAATCAGCAAATTCGAGGAGGCCATCAAGGAGAGGGAGGCCCAGCATTTAGATTGTGTTAAAAAAAACAAACCACCCCAAACATTTCTACAGGCTTATTTTTAAAAATGGAATTGAGAAGCGTTTGGGGGATTGTTGGGATGTCCCTTCCCCGGCAGTGCTGGAGACCCAATCACAACTAGTTTTGTCCTATGAAGGAGATCCAGAAAGTGAAACTGACTAGGAACTGAAGTGAAACTGACCAGCCTAGTTTTATGTCTCAGCTGAGCAAAGTGTGATAAGTAACTGAACTGCATCAGGAGCCTGTGGAATTACATTCACTTTGAACATCTGAAAGAGAAATTAGGAACAGGGGCAGGGAGATTTTTTAAATAATCAGATGGGACCAAGTACCCCACCACCACCCCAGCCCAGTCTCCAGTCTTTCTCCTCTGAATTAGCATGCCTGTGTTCTTGCATGCTAAACTCCTGGGACCTATGTGGTATGCACAGAGATGATTAGAACCGACAGCAGTAGGACAATGCCATTTCACAACGACTCCCGGGGTTTCGAAATTTGTTTTCATTAGGCATCAGAACAAAACCAAAATCCTTTGAACATTTTTCGCGAAATGGAATTGGGTCAGAATGGCACTTGCCCCCTCCCTCTCTGCTCAGAAATAAACCAAGAGCATTGGACCTCAAAACCATTCTAATGAAAAGATCATTGGAACCCATATGTCTCTCCAAAACATTTCAGCTTTGATGAAACAGCCTATTTCAGTGAAATTTCATTTAGCTGAATATGTTCAGCCAGCTCTATTTCATATATAAGTGATTATTACTGTTATTATTTATTCATAGTGTGGTAGCACATAGGCACCCCAGTCCTTGACCAGGACCCCACTGTGCAAGGTGCGGTACAAACACAGAACAGAAATGACCCGCCCTGCCTCGCAGAGCTGACAGCCTAAGTATACTGATGGATACAGGCAGAGAGAGGTGACCAAGGCCGCAGTGCAACAATACTGGTCAATGTCAGAGGGAGTGATCTCAGTCCACCAGCTGCCTAACCGCCAAGAGGTTTGTTGTCGGTGTCGTGGCAAAGGAGAGATGACTCTTGTGTTCTGCTCTAGCTCTGCCTCTGATCTCGGGTAAATCGCTCTGTGCCTCTTCGTCCTGCTCATAAAATGGAGCTAATTCCTGACTCCCAGTGGGACGGGGAGGCTAAATTCATTTATGTTTGCTAAAGGCACTGGGGTCAAGTTTTCTAATGCACCTGAAATTACTTCGGAGCCTGGGTTCCCAATTTCAAAAGGCTTAGATGCCCAAGTCCCACTGAAAGTCCTGCAGGTGACTTTTGAAAATGGAACTGTAGATGCTTTTGAAAATGTTCCCCTTTGTGATCTCTCCACGGAAGGGGGACAAATGAATCATTTAAAATTATTGTCAGTTCAGGATGTCAGTAGCCTGGTATTGTTTAATACCCCGGGGATCCGCGTCTGAATAAGGTCTCATACGCCTTTGCTGGAGTTCACTGGCGCTGGAGGTACAATTTCCATCTTGGGCAGACATCCGTGTGTGAGCTCTGCGGGAAGGGGCTAGCCACCCAGAGTACGTCCCTGGGATCTTGGCTGGGGTGGCTGCCCGTGCAGATCAGAGTGACACTGCTATTTTTAGTATGCTAGCTCCATCAGGCCGGTGGGAGTACGCGTACCCATGCTGGGAATGACGCTGCCAGACCCTCAGTGAAAACCAGCGTGGGTGCAGATTGCCTGCTGTACAGAGCAGAGAGAGACCCCACATAAATGCCGCTGCAGTCAGCCCATCTTGGTCCGTTGCTGTGGTGTTGTGTTGTCAGCTTGTCCCCTCCCTCGGCTCCTAGCTCCATGCTGGCCTGGGCATTGTAACCTCCTCCAGCTGCTGTTCGCAGCACCCTGCCTGCGTTCCTATGAGGAGATTTGAATAGGAAGAGCCCCCCTGCTTTCCCCCACTGGGGGAGGGGGTGGTGGAGGAATGCTGCTTTCCCAGCTTGTGCCAGCCCTGCTCCTTTTCATGCCAAGTGAATTCTATTAAGGGGAGGACTAAAGAAGCCGTCGCTCATTGCCAGAGGATGGATCAGCACTGCGGCTGCCCTGATCTTCCCATCTCCCTCCCTCTGGAGGGTTCTCTGGTCTTGGGGTTTGGAACGGCTGGCTCCCCATGTCCCACAGAGGAGAGGGCTCTGCATGCTGGTGGGTTTGGACGATCTGGACTGTCCTGGGAATGTGAGGATGGGCGGCCAAGTGACTGAGCTCCTGTTTCTGTTGGGATACGGACGGGGTGGGTGTGACACAGGGGCCTGCACCAACAAAATGAAGGGGTCTGGGAGTGTGACAGGTGTGAGAGAGAGGCGAGTGAGTGTGTGAGGAGTGTGTGTGTGCGAGGGAGGGGAATGAGTGTGTGCGGCAATTGTGTGTGTGTGTATTTGCAGACATCAGGGGAATGGGCACGTGGGGGGTTGTGAGTTGGACAGGGCTATGTTTGTACGAGTGAGGAGGGTGCGTGTGGAAACTGTGAGCATGACAGGCAGGAGCTTTCAAGGTGTTCCTAAAGCTCTCGCTAGCATGCAGAGCTGCAAAATCTTTCCTCCTCACCTCGTACCAGGCCTGCAACCCAGCACCTGGGGGAGGTGCCAGGCTCACAGTGGCGGCTGGGTGGCGAGCTTGGCCTGGAATCCGTTCCCCTGACAGCTCTGCCTGGCCATTTCTGTTGCCTCAAGGCAGCAGCAGCCCTGGGGACTCGTGCGATCCCCCTTCCTGGGCTGGAGGATTTCACTGTGGTGCTCCCTGGGCCCCAGCCTCACTTCTTGGAGCCCATGTCTAGCTCCTCCCCTCCAAATCCTGGGGTGCAGGGAGCCCCTGTGGCAGCCTGTCTCTTGGCTCACTGGGGACGTAGGCCCCACGTACAGCCCACCCTTTCTGCCATGCAGTGGCACGGGTTCAGTTGGGCCAGAGCCCCCAGAGAAAGGGGGCAGCATTTGGACCACAACAGTTTTAGAATTTGGATTAAATGAAGGACAAATATGTAAAGGCGGAGCCGATCTACAACCCTGGCTCGATTTAACCCAGACTCCAGGCACAGACCCCCCTGCTCACAGCACCAGGCCACATATCGTATC